TCCTGTTTTTTGGGGGGCTGCTCCTGTTTTTTTGGGGGCTGCTCCTGTTTTTTGGGGGGCTGCTCCTGCTTTTTGGGGGGCTGCTCCTGTTTTTTTGAGGGCTCCTCCTGTTTTTTGGGGGGCTGCTCTGTTTTTTGGGGGGCTGCTCCTGTTTTATTTGGGGCTGCTCCTGTTTTTTGGGGGGCTGCTCCTGTTTTTTGGGGGGCTGCTCCTGTTTTTTGGGGGGCTGCTCCTGTTTAGGGGCTGCTCTGGGCGGCTCGGACCTGTCATCTGCTGGCCTGGCAGAACAGGCAGGACAGCCCAAGTACCCCTCACCTCCAGCGAGAGAAAAACGCCATCACTTTATCATAAACAGCTCTTCAGCTGAAGCAGCTGGGGACTTTAGCATGGAAATCTGGCATGGAAATGCCGTTCATTACACTCGTGTGCCTGAGCGTTGCCACGAAAAGCTGCTTTTGATGAAGGCCGCGCCGCGCTGCGGCGCCGGGCGGGCCGGGGCCGCCATCGCCGGGGCCGCAGCGCCACCTACGGGCGGAGCCGCGCGAGGCCGCGCTCGCACAGCCCCGGCTCTCCGCCGCCCCGCGGCGTCCCACTGTCCGGTGAACCTTTCGGAAATAAACTCCTCCAATGTCCAACCTGAGCCTCCAGCCATGTCCTCTCACGCTGTGCTGTTCCCTGAGAGCAGGGCCGGCCCCAGCTGGCTGCAGCCTCCTGGTCAGGAGCTGTGCAGAGCCGTGAGCCCCCTGAGCCTCCTTTGCTCAGGCTGGACACCCCCAGCTCCCCCAGCTGCTCCTCGCAGCACTTGTGCTCAGCCCCTTCCCCGGCTCCATTCCCCTCTCTGCACTGGTCACAGCATTTCAGTGCTGAATTCTGGGGCTCAGAGCGGGACGCAGCACACGAGGTGTGGCCTCATCACTGCCCTGGTCCTGCTGGCCACACCATTGCTGACACAGGCCAGGTGCCTTTGGCCGTCTTGGCCACCTGGGCTCATTCAGCCACTACTGACCAGCACCCCCAGGACCTTTTCCTCTGGGCCAATTTCCAGCCTCCCTGTGCTCAGCCTGTAGTGCTGCAGGGGGTAAGAGCAGAACTTGGCACTTCACCTTATTGAACCTCATACAGCTGGCCTCAGTTGATGGATCTAAGCTGCCCAGATCCTTCTGCAGAACCTTCCTGCCCTCCAGCAGATCTACAGTCCCAACCAGCTTGGTGTCATCCATGAGCTCAGGAAGGGTAGACTCAGTTAGGAACAGGGCTTTCCACTGGCCTCCAAACCTGGGAGGTGGCTGTGGCCTGCCCAGCTGGGAGCACCCAGGGGCACAGCTGATGGATGGCAGGAGATGCAGCCGCTGCTTAGGATAAACTCACCTCAGCCCCACGCACCTGGCCCCACAAAGCTCAGGGGGCTTATCAGGAGTCACTCTTTTTGACTTTGCCTGTCATAATTTGCAAAATGCATGGCTAGTTTTGGTACACAAAGTACACAGATGATTGGGTAGACTGACTATCCACCACAGTCAGATTAAGCTCAGTATTGTTGCTCTGAAACTTTCCCAGTCTGCACCTTAAAAATCATCACATGGCTCTTAAACTTGAAATTATTAATGCAGATACACTGGAGTTTTTATGTGCCCTGTGAGTCCTGAAGCCTTTTAGAGATACATCAAAAACTCTGAAATCCAGTGAGATGCTCTGTGGCACCTGTGAGGCTCCAAACCAGCTGGGTCTGTGACAGCCAGCTGGGACCAGCTCTGGTTTGTGGTTAGTGACTGCTCACAGCATACACGGTGTGGGGACACTCTCAGCTCCACCGAAATTCAGGGAACACTGAGCTCACTGCAATGCAGTGCAGTAGAACTGCAACAGGAGAGAGGGACAAATACAGGTACTTTTAGGAATACAACTCAAGTTAATTATGGCAGTCGCATTTTACAACCACAAAAAGGAGAAGGAATAAACTGTTGGAAGCTCAGGAAGGTGTGGAGCTGCTAAGCCTGGCACAGCAAATCTAGTTCCCTGACTTGTTCTGGTGCAGAGAATTTTAGTAAAAGTGAGCTTGGGCAGGTAGGGTTCAGTATACGTGATGTCCTGCTTAGTCTAGTAAATCCATCACATGGAACTGCTGACTGGCAAAACAGGCACAGTCAGCATAGTGTGCTTGGGAGAAAAGCAATGCATACTCTGACACTAGCTGATGGGTTGAAATAGCAGTTTTGTTTTCATTCCTTCCCCGGTCTGGAGGCTAAAAACCCACTACCCCTCAGCAGTAAAAACTATATGGGCACAAAGCAGGGATACTGTTTTACAAAATGTACTGTGGTCCTTTGGACTAGGAAGTTTAATTCCCTGCAAATATGCAAGATTGTCTGCCTTTAGGAGGCAGAGCTAGCTGTGGTCATTTAGTGTCTTTGTCAAAACAAACTTATTGATTGTACCCAACTGGTCTTAGCAATTCATAAACAGGAAATACCAGTAAAGCAACCAGTAGCATTTTGCTCAGAGCAACATCTGTGCTCCAAGCAGCTTAGTCTTACACTAAACAGTACAAATCTGATGATAACACAATGTAAAATAGTAAATCTGGATCAGTGTTGCATATATCCAAGATTAAGCACTTCTGAGTCAAAGCCTTCAACTCCATTAGAAAGAAATAAGTCTTAATTCTAATCTTGGTACAGTGGTGTTAGTGTGGAGTTGCTTTGCTGATTTCACAGACCTTACATCACACTTATTAAATGGTAACTGAGATGCTCAAGGTATGTCAGCCTGAGCTGTCTACACTCCAGCTAAATGAGAAGTGTTGAATAAAGGCTAGCAAACATGTCAAGACAAAATAATTACACTAAATATGAATTTTATTGCTATGGTTATTTTGCTATAAATGAATAAGGAGAATGAGGACATACAGTAAAAGCTACAGTAAAGACAGGGAGTGCACAAGAACATAAAGGTTCTGGAGGAGAAATTTGTTGCATGCTACCCTCCATGACTTACACAGTCTTATGCTGAGGAGGAAAACCACAAACACATCTGAGGAACACGCATGTGAATTTTCTCCTCCACTCCACTTGTGTATCTGGTTCCATCACCTACTGAATCTTCACTGAAGAACAAAGTAAGCCAGGGTTGGATGACATGCAGGGTAGCTCCATCTGGACACTGCTCAGAATGTGCTCCAGCACTGGGGAATATGTGTCTTTGCTGGAAGTCAGTGCAGTTGTTCTGTACAGAAACACTGCCCACCCCTCCTCCCTAGTCCATAAGCCTGTACCCACTCACTAGAAGAGACTGGCTTTCTCTCAAATTCATGCAAAAGGAGCCAACAGCTTTGTCTTCACATGTAACTAAGAATAACCACCAATAACCCTGGTTGATCTCTTTAATGTGGTCAGACTTACCAGAAGGCTGAGCATTCCTACCCCACTCTGAGGAAGCCTGGCTCTGTCCAGCTGTCCACAACTGCAAGCCCAAAAATAACAAGTCCCAGACAAACATGTGGACTTGTGACCTCCTCAATTCTGAACAGACTGGCACTGCTGTATAACAGATTTATCCTTCCCTGACAGTGTGCGCTGCACAAAAACAGGGCCATTGTGCTACTTGTGAACCTCCCATTGCTTTAGGGGGCTTAAGCGTTGGGCCCAAAGCAGGAATGTGTGCTTGAGTACAAAGCAAACATTTGTACTCAATGTATTGTTATTACAATACATTGTAATAACAATGGAATTATAGTCATGAATAGCACTGTTCAGAAACAAACTATCATTTCAATCTGCTTGGAAAATGATCTTGCAACACCTGCTGCCTCTTCCCATCACTATGGTATCAGTGGTCTGCAGAACCTGGCATGGCTGTCCCTCCAAGCCCCAGAAGCCATCTCCTTCAGCTCACAGCAGCCTCCACACCAACTGCAGGTACATTAAATGCAGAGCTGGGCAGAGAAAGGCTATTGAGTCACGACTGTGCATCCAGCCAGACATTCCTGTGGATCTGACCAAAGCTCTGCTGTTTCTGAGCAACAGGAGACACAGGCACATCTTCAGGAAGCAAGTCTGAGCTTCAACAACCAGGGACTTCAGGTGGCAATGCCCATGCTGCTGCTTTGTGCACTAGGATGTTGCTACTTCTGTCTCTGCAGTGAGATCAGAAAAGCTACAAGCACCTACAGGAAGATAACTGTGCTCTTGATTTCAGGCTCTAGCACAAGTTTGTACACTTGCTTTCTAGGTTCTAAATGCCTGTGCTTCTGAGATGGAAGACAGTTCATCATTTTTGTATAAAAGCAGCCTATTGTTTCCAAGACAAAACTACGATCTTTGGCTTCAATTTGTAGTGTATTTTTCCATTGAGAAATGTAAGGTTATTTTCTTAATGAAGAATTATTTCCATTTGAACTTTTTAAAAGATCATTTCTTTTTAATTACAACCCAGGAATGTTTTGCAATCAACAATCTTTATTTTATAGCCTTCACTTGAAGATACTAGGGACCTAGACAGAGTTATCTCCTGAAAACACAAAAGACATGTTCCCCTGCTATGACTAACAGTTCTTCTGAAAAAATAAAAAAGCCCAAACCAAAACAAAAAACCCAGCTGATTTACCTTTTGTTATCCTTTCCCAATCATTAGGAAATTTAAAAAAAAACATGCAATGCCTAGTGGTTTTATTCTCCCCTACTCCTTACAAGTTAAGAATCATAGAGGAAGAAGAGGAGATGGATGCATTCTGCAGAACTCACTATTGCACAGCACAAACCAAACAGCAGCATAGACCTGTATTCAAATTCACCTTTTAGAGGGCTTTTAAAAAGGGCAGACACGTTTGTTCACTTACATTCCATCCCTTTCTGACCCCAAGGTCTCTAAGAGAGCTTCAGTAATTTCAGTAATTCAGCTTCTGCAATTTATTTTGGTTTGGACTAGCAATAGGAAACTTTCACTGTAGTCCTCTTTTGCACTTCCAGAATGTCCTTCCTGACTGGCAGAACATGTGCAGCTTGTGTTAACCTGTGACAGGACATGCTTGCAACATTGGTGTACAGCTCAGAGCCAGCTTCCTGAAAGCATTTACCTTCCCTGGATTAGGCCACTCTTAGTAAAGCAGCCACAATTCCATCTGTCTGTTTACTTCCAGTGATTCCACTTGGTTGAGTTATTCCTAAGGCTCATGAAAGCCTTGTGCTTCCCCTGGCTGCTCCCAAAACTCCTGTCCAGGACCTCTATTGCTTAAATACATAGGACAGAGCCAGGAGAATTTTAGGATGAAATGGAGAAGATTAGGGCTTCAGCTAAATTTATATAGGTGCAAGTTCTCATCTGTTTTCATCTTTCCTGACATGAAACTCTGTGAACCATAAGGAAATTAACCTTCTTCTAAATGGAAGCATAATGGAAGCATAAGTAAGACTTAACATTAAAACAGTATGCAAATACAGGAAGCTAAAAGTGGAAGTATAAAAATAAGTCCTCTTACTATAAGAACTCAACTTATGCACCCTGCCTCATTTACCTGAACAAGAAAGCCCTTGCATTTCTTCAGAGCTTGCTTTCTGTGCCAAGCACAGCTCAGCATGGATTAGAACAGGCCACGTAACACACAGAACAGCTGCACTCCAGGGCACAGCACACTCTAGAGAAACCACGCATACAAGCAAAAACACTTGGAGTGTTTTTCTCAACAAGTCATGGAGGGAAAGGGAAACCTGCTGAATGTGAGGGGGAAATGTACATGCAACAAACCCAGCCTCAGCTGTGCTCAAAATTAGTTGCAAATAAGGAACCTGGCTCAGAAAACCTTGGTGGCTAAGAGGCAGGCATCTTATCCTAGCCCTGGCAAGGCAGCTGAATCCAAAGTGCCTGTGTGCAAGGTCTGCTTGTGTTGCTCATCTCTCCCCTCCTGTTCCTGCCTGCAGAGGGGCTGGAGGCCCAACAGAGCAAGGGCTGTTCAACTTCCTTCTCCTCCTGCAGCCTCTGCAGAGCCATGGCAGTAAGGAGCAGAGACAATGGCTGGTTCCTAACAATGCAGCTGCTGCACTGTCTGAGGCTGCTGTTCTGCAGACACCTGCAAAGCTAAAAATCCAGTACTTCCATCTGACCAGAGAAGAGTCATCCAGGATAAAGAGGGAGCTAGAACAACAAACACTGCTCTTCCTTGCCACTGGTCATTCACATTCTGGGAGAATAAAAGAACTGAGGAGTGCTGCTGCTTCTAGTGTTTGCT